CCCCCTCTCCTCTCCACAGAGGAAGTGGAGAGCCGGTAGACAGCCTTGCAAGCTGACTGATGTTTCAAAGTTACTTCAATCTGTACCCAAAGGGCCTAAATAAAAAAGCAGCTCTGTTCTCAGATAAATCATGTTTCACTTCCTTAGAGGACACATTAATGAAGCAGATCAGCTGTAGTGCGATGTGTCGGGCAGGATGTGTCCTGATCCTGCAGGTCAATGGGTGATGTGTTCTCTGCTCACAGAGAAATGCCCCAGAGATTGCCTGAGGCACGTTTCTGTAAGATGGAAAAAAGCCAGGCAGGTGCTCTCAGGATTTGAGGGGCCTCAATTTGTGTGGATATTCCCAGGGCACCCAGGATCAGGCCCCTCAAGCCTCAGGAGCACATACCCAGGGCAGCTGGAGAGCACAGGCAGCTCTGAACTTATTACACTCTCTTGCCATAAACCTAACAGATGTCTGCCATAATGAAATAGCACAACTTAATACCATTTATGTCACAGCCACAAATTTGGGGCATTTATGGTATGACAAGGTATATGGACATCTGTTTGCTTGGCCTGTGTGCCACCATAAAAATTATTATGGCAATACAAAGGAAACATCTGTTTCCACCCTCAGTTACTCAAGTTTCACTTCCTTGGTATCTAATGATGCAAGCCCACCAGTTCTCCACTCAGCCATAGCATCCAGGAAACAAAGTTGCTAAGCACTGAACTTTCAATATAACATTTTAAAAAGACCTTTTTGGACTTTCTTTATCAACCATAAAGAAGCCAGAGATCTCATCTGTATTTGTTTCTTCTACCTCCATCTTTAACAATATGGCTTGAAATACTGCAATACGTACCAAATACAATACTGCTCAGCTAACAGAGGAAAATCATTTCTGTCAAGCAAAAGAATTTTGTTGGCTTCCTGAATCAGCAAATAAAATAGGTTTGGTCATTTCTAATATAGGAACAACTATTCAAAACCTGATATGCAGGGAGCCTGATGCTTCTATTTCCTAGATTTTCCGAAGGACATTAACAGATTTGGCAGGCAAAACCATAAAGCACAGCCAGTCTGAGGAGGCCTGGCGCCAAAAAAATGTATTGGCACTAAAGTTTATGGATAAAGCTTTTGCCATTTCTGCTTGGCTTAAACTAGCACACTGAATTGCTCTCTTACCTTCACCATCAATCGAACAGCAGATTAGCTGGGTGTTACCATCCATTCTGTAATCCCCCTCCACAACTCCAGCAATTGAGGATGCAAAGTTGTCCTTAAAGATGACTTCCCCAGTTCGGTCACTGCGTGCATCAACCTGGAATACAGAACATTCCCAAGACACCGCATGAAGAAGATGAAAACTAACTTCACAGTATAAATTATGCAGTGCTCCAGGACATTAACTTATGAAGCCTGCTGCATTCATGGAACTACAGTTGAACATTATTAGATTAAGAAAATCCTACCAAAAATTAAACAACTAAATGCAATCTAAATGTAGTCAAGTTAAAAAAAGAACTGCTCCTCAGAAAGGCTTTCCCATGAGAAAAATAAAAGCTAGAGGAAAAGGAAGGGGAATCACAAGCCTGTGCTGCTCTTGAAGCTACAATGACAGGACTAAATAATAAATAACCACCTTCAAGCAACATTTACAGTGTCCAATCTTATCTGTAGTCTTTGTCTGATGAAGTGCATTAGTTTTATGCACAACCATTGTGAACTTTAATCACCTTTCATTGGAGGTGAGTATGGGCTCTGTGCAGCTCTGCTCTTTCAGCGTTCAGAACACAGCAGTTCCTCAACAACCAGGAAGGACCCTTAAATGACAGAGACTGGAGAAAATAGTAGTGTGTAGAGGTTTCCTATACAACAAGGCTGTATTGAGACCAGAAGCCCCTTACCAGGGGTTCTACTGAATCCTGGAGCACTAGGTTTCTAGCTCAGAGGTGAATTAGATTAGATAACCCCAAGAACCTGAAAGGATATTGTGTGGAAGGAGTGCTGATTTACAAGAAAACACTAGCAAATGGTGTCCACAGGAGACATGGCAGGAAGATCAACCATTTCTGGCAAACAGCAATGCTAAGAAACAGTGTTGCAAGAGAACAGAATTCAGTTTTATGCAACACTGCATTACCTAACTGATGAATTTATTAAACCATGGTAATACTATTTTCATAATTACTAGTGAAGCTCCCTTCCAATTGCCTAATAAGTTTCCTTTCTTAGGAGTTTTTAAGAACATCCAGGATACCTGGAAGAATACTACTAGGATGTGCTCAACACATAAACCTGGAAGAAGAAATGAAAGAAGAATCTCAAAAAAACTGAAATGTCATAACATCTTTGCTACCATACCTTACCAATCAATTTTGAATTAAACAGAGGAAGGAATTTTTCTGTAATCAACTTGCATCTGACACTAGATTCATCAGCTAAGACAGGGTTGTTGTAACATTTTTTTCAGATCTTAATTGATAATAGCCTTTTGAATGATTTGCCTGTTTAACCTTGTACAATAAAACAGCTTTGTTCAAATAAAAATCTCCTGTTTTACAGCTATATATTCTCTTTTCATTCAAACTCACCTTCCCATTAGACCATCCAGTGATAAGTTCACACACTCCATCAGAATTAAGGTCAAATGCATGTATGCTCATTGCATGATTTTTAGACTGGGAAAAAAACAAAGAATTATTAAGCTACTCTTTTTTACCAGAAGGTCTTGAAACATGTAGGGCACTTAAGTATAGATTACATACAGATGCAACCAGATGTCTCTTAACAGGGTCAGGGCATCCCTATCCATAAGTCTCCGAAATCTCAGTGTTTGCATTTCACACACAGGCCCATTCTCTCCAAGGACCCTCTCTGTCCCTCTGATGTTTCTATCCCAAGGGATTATCAGGCCTCTCCTCCCACAAATACAGTGGAACATGCAAAAGACTGAAGCTACAGCTTCAGATTTATAAATCTTCTCTGTAAATGAGGAATCCCTTTAGTACAAAATCAAATCTCCATAATGTTGTGTAATATAATTGCTGCTCTAGTCAGCATCATTAAGAAAATTTAGGAAGATCATTTTGTGGTCCTATATCTTAGGCTGTGGATAGACAACAATGGTAAATGGGAAAGCCCCACTGCTTTAAACATTTACTATATTTTCTCATACATAATATGCACCTTTCCCCCCTAAAATCAGCCCCCCAAAACTAGGGTGCATGTTTTAATTGGAGAAGTTGTTTTTCTCATTCAAAAAAAAAGCAAGCCTGGAGACACTGTAAAGGCCATGCAGCTGCCAAGATGATAAAGCCCTCTCATAGCCATAGCTATTGAACGCTGTTGCTTGTGCCTGAAGCAGCAAGTTTGCTGTTGGTAGGATCTTGATGAGGCCTGTGATATGGAAATGACACTTAACTTACAAGAACTTATAAGGAGAACTACTTATAGTAAAGAACTAAGTCTTGCTACTGGCTTTTGCAAAGGCCTGGGGAACATGGAGCATCAAGGACATGCAACATCCTAGGAGACAATGGAAATGAGGCAGCTGACACCAGGAACTTCTCAGTGCCACACTTCCTATGTTCCCAGGAAGACTTACTTTGTCATGCACCAGGCCATGATTGGAAAAATCTTTTCTTTTCTACATTCTGCCTTCCAAAAACAAGGTGTGTGTTTTATATGGAGATGTGTAGTATGCAAGGAAATATGATAAACCCAGTCTGTTAAAAGCACCTGAAAACATATTGTACAAGGAAGACTCCTGTCCTGCTCTCTGAAGAATGGACAAAATGATTTTACAGGCATTAACATGTCTTCCATGAACAGAACAGCAAACAGCACTGCTGTAGTTACCAGACACAACATATCTAACAAACACTATGTAAAATGAGTGTACCTCTGAGATATCAGAAAACTATATAGCTTAAGGCATTATGCAGTTGTGAACTCAAAATCTTCCTTATGTCTATATCCCGAACACAAGGGCCAATAACCACAGCTCCATCAGTGCAAGTTACCTGATATTAATTTTATATGTATACTCATGATTGAGACACAATTAGAAAAACAGTTTGCATAAAACACCTCAACTGAGACTTTCAAAGCCACCCAATGGGATTTAGATGCCCAATTCCTGATCACTGTAATGCTAACTGGGTGTCCAAATTCCCTTTGTGAGTCTCAAAACTCTCAGCTCTAATATTCTGATTTCTCTCTTCAGTACAGATTTGATTGTACTAACTTTAATCCTCCAGTAGCGAGCTGTTTTATCATAGACTCCTACTGTGCCATTAGAAAGAGCATAGCCAAACCGACTGCCATACATGGGACTAAGCGCAGTAATGGTCTGAAAAAGAGAAAATGTATGAGTTATAACATCTCTATTTCTGTAGCTTAAAGTAACAGACAATAGAATATGTGCCATTTCTGTATTGTATTAGACCTATTTATGTTAAAACTAACAGCGTAAGCTACAACGAACTGGGGATAACATCTCTCCTCAAAGAGCATTAAAATATTTTAATAGTTATGAAAAAAAATTGTTTAAAATCACTAAGTGCCCATCCTTATAACACCTACTCACCCACATGAAGTAGTTTAACTGACATTAATGGAACTACATGTGAAAACACAGATCAAACTCTTCAGTTGTGTCTACACCACGGTTCGGGGGTGGGGGGAGGGAATCTGAGTGGGAGCACAAGCAAAGTCATATGGCCACAGTGTTTTTTAATGCGTCTTTAATACCAGCTCTGATCAGAGGAAATGCTGGTTGCTGTGTCTTCCTGGTCCACACTACCAGGCCAAGAGTACCAACTGTGGCAGAACCACAACAGTGGGAACTTTTTGCAGAAATCCCTAGCATTAAACCAGCGGGACTAAACAAAAGTTTAACTGTTTGTGGGACTGAGCTCCTTCTGGGACACGATCACCAGTGAACATCTATAGCACAATGCTCTTTTATTATTTCTGTAAGTGGCAGAAACAGGGAGGGACCGAAAGTAACCATAACTCTTCCATAACTTACCCTCTGTCCTGCCTACTCCTGAAACCTAGATTCCCCACTCCAAATGGCAGCTGTTCGAGCAGCCCTTCAATGCAAATGAAACATGTTCTGCAATCGCCTGAACTTATATATTCACAGGTCACAAGCCCAGAAGGCTTGTGATCATGTTATCTGGCTTCCTGCATCATACAGGTTGCAGGAATTCAATCTTGACTTAAAAACCACCAGTGATGAGATACATATTGCAACCCTTGGCAGTTGTTTAAAGTGATTAATTGCCTTCCCTGTTAAAAATATGAGCCTTATGTTGACCCTGAATTAATCTGCCTTCCATTTCTAGTCACTGGAATCTTGTAACACCCTCTGCTTAATGGGGGGAGCCTTGTATCATCACACCTCTTCCCCATGTAACTACTGATGGACTGATCAAATTCTCCCCTTAACCTTTTCTCAGATCAAGCTCTTTGAGTCTTTCACTAAAAGGTATTTTTTCCAATTCTTTTAATCAACCATTCTCATGGATCTTTTCTGAATACTCTCTAATTTATCAACATCCCCCAAACTGTGACCATAAGACCAGATGCCATATTCCAGTAGTGACCACACCAGTGATACATATGGAAAAAATATAGCCTGTCTACTACTACCCCTCTTCCTTTTTATGCATTTGAAGATCCCATAAGCACCATTAGTTACAGCACTGTCAACATGCTAATTGTTGGTCACTGAGGATCCCAAATATTACTAACCCTGCCAAAAAATCCCCAAGACCTGAAAGTCATTTTAAAATGGAATGTTATGTATAAAACCAAAGATACTGCATGAAATGTATCTTCCTTAAAAGAAGAAGATTAAATTAGTTCTGTAAAACAGGAGTGGCCAACCTGCACAAGTGGGTGTCACAACTGGCATAGGCAGCCTCTGTGTGTGGCATGCAACAGACCAGGAAGGGGACACAAAGCACAGCGACAGATAGGGCAGGGAGTAGAAAGCAAAGCACATAATTAGGAAGCATAGGGTAGGGAGCAGAAAGCTGAGCAGCAGACTAAGAGAAAATGATCAAAGTGGCACTCGGGGAGCCTACAGGGCTAATTTGTGGCACACCTGCCAAAAAGGATAGCCCCACAGCTCTAAAATGACAAGACAACAACTCTCAAGGAATCTCTGTGTGTGGCTTTAAAATATGAGTCAGGTGTGGTTATGACATAAATCACATATGAGCTTGATATACTGTTAGCCCTGTACAACTTCCATCTAACCACATATCACTCTGCCCAGATTACAGGGTACAGAGAGTTTAAAATATTCCAGGGCAGGATACCCTGTTAAATTTAGATCCTAGTTATTAGAGCAACTCCACCCTCATCATCTTTAGCTTTAAGCTCTCTGGCAAGTGGTTTAGTAACTAAGCCTTTCATCCCAAGCTTCAGCAGTGAGCTTCCTCTCTCAAACCTCTGTCAACCTTGAAGGGAAGGCAGAGAACTCATCCATAAGATGTTTGGTGGTTCTCTGCACTACGAGCAGATCCTCCTCTCCCACTAGAATAAGGAGTGCCACTCCCATCACTATTTTCTGCTCACATACCCTCCCCCCATCCCCACCCCTTAATCTTTGCTTACCACAACTTTCACTTGGGCCTTGTCTCTGCTACAGGTACAGCCATGTACACCCAACCTCTATAAGTTCTCAAAGAGGATAGCTAATGGCTCCAAAATTACCTTGACCAATTCCTGGGGCGTATCCCATCCAGCCATGCCAATTTAAAAGCATTTAGCTTCTCTAAATCCCTAACATTCCTCCACTACTCTAAACTGTTTGTCTCCTTTCCCATCTTTGTTGCTAGCTGTACCCATCATCTGGTGGCTGCCCCTATCTGTGAAGAGTGAAATAAAAAATGAATTAAATACTTCAGTCTTCTCTGCATCCATAACTCAATTGCCTTCTGCATTCAGTAAAGGACCTACACATTCTCAGGTCTTCCTGATACTTTTGACATTTTTGTAGAATCCTATTTTACTGCCTTTTATGTCCCTTGCCAGCTGCATCTGATGTTGTGCCTTGGCCTTCCTAATTTTCTCCCTGCATCCCCATATTATACTTGTATATTCTTCCCTAGTACTATGGCCAAATTTTCACTTTTTGTAGGATTCCTTTTTAAGTTCCAAGCTCATTGAAGAGCTTGCTGTCTAGCCAAACTCATCTCCTGCTGCACTTCCCATTCTTCCACATCAGGATAGCTTGCTCCTGCGCCCTTAATAGGATCTCCTTAAAGTACAGCCAGCTCTCCTGGACTCCTTTTAGACTCCTGGATCTGCCTCCTAGGGGATCCTACCCACCAATTTCCTGACTTCAGTGTCCTTATTCTGCTGCTCTTCTTTCCTTCCTCCCCTTAGGATCCTGAACTCCATCATTTTGTGATTGCTGTCACCCAAGTTACCCTCCACCTTCAAATTCTGTTTATCTGACCTAGTTACAAACAAGTTGTCATCTTACCCCAGCGGTATTTCCTGCTCAAGTGCAGGGGGTCTGGACCCAATAATCTGCAAGGTCCCTTCCAGGCCCTAACAACTATGAAACTACAAGTTGCAGCTTTGTCCTAATAATATTCTTTAAATACTACAATTACATGTCATCTGCTTTTCTGCACGCACATGCTGCTTGATCATGTTTGTATCAATGTATTCTAGGAAAATCTGTGCCAGGATCAGAGGGTACCAACATAAACAAAGAAAACAGTTTGAGTATGTAATTATGGAATTTCTTGCACTTAAGTATTGGAACTGGCTTCATGAACAAGGCCTGCCCTTTAACAATCTGAAGAGTTTCTGAGAGAGGGAAATACTGCAATAGAACAAATTCTGTTCTTTACAGCTTCTGACTGCGGCTTTCCATCAAATCAACCTCCTCAGTAACTTCCATCAGCCTTGATTAAGAGCCCAAATTTTCTGATAGATAAGAGTTACTTTAAAATGTGGTATTTTATCTGTAAATAGGGAAAAAAAATCCTAATCCAGGCACTTAAATTCATTAACTGTAACTGTTAGAGTGCTAGCAGGATAGCTATAAAATTAAATCATTACAGTAACTGTAAACTATTTCATAACTATAAATCAGTGTAGATTTACAGTAGGCAAATAACTGTACCCATCTGAAATTTTTAAAAATGTTGGTTAGAAATCATTTACCTCTGTTTCTGACATTTCTGCTACTATCTCATCTTCTTTAAAAACTCTGATATCAAAATCTTCAGACCCAACAAGAAGCTGGGAAGGGAAAAAATAATCTTAAAATAGACCACAGGAAAAAAAAATACACACGTCTAGTAGTCCAGAGGCAGGCAAGAAGCTTCTACTGAGTTTTTGAGCAAACAATATTCTAGATCCCAACTTTAGGATTGCTTAATCATGGTATGAAAGATTTATAAATTAATCTGGGATCAATAGGTTTCCCTATGAATATGCAATGGAAACTCCACTTTTTCCAGGTACAGTAAAATCTTTGTTATCCGGCATCCCTGGGGCAAGGGGATTACTGGTTATGTAACAATTCCAGTTATCTGAAATAACCCGGCAGGGGGTTTCAGATAATGCAGAGCAGGGGCACGGAGGGGGTGGCAGTGGTCACATGCAGGCTGGCAGGAGTGCAGGGTGGTGCACTCCTGCAGCAGCGGCCACCGCATGCAAGCTTTCCCCCGCATCCAGCAAGTTAGCCAGAAATTCTGGCTAACAGAATTTCGCTGGAATTAAACACTGGACAACAAAGATGTTACTGTATTAGTCTCACGGTCTAGATTCTAAGAAAATGTTTTGAAATATACAAGGTAAGGAAGAGGAAATGCAAGTTGGCACCTTGTCTCACTAGTAGCCATAGCTTCACACCTTAAGAAATTATATCCTCTATGTTGGGGTAGAGGACCTGAAATCCTAGTTTAAAATTCCATGTGGATTCAAACAGACCACAACCTGAATCATGAGACACAAGTCAAGATGTTTTAAACCAATCCACTCTCTTATTTAATCAACTGCTTTACTTGTACTCCAGCCCTCTTAATGCCAGAAAATAAGGCAGAGGGGAAGTGATGAAACTGGCTGTGACACTAATCCTGCTGATAGATCTTTTCAGTGAACTCTCATGTAGGTGAAGGATCTGCATCACTATATATGCTGCAAATCAACATGAAACTCCTATAAAGTGGTGTTCAGATGTCAATGGCACAAGTGAGGTCTTTCGGATGCTATAAATGATCTTCCAGGTACTGAGAAAGAAAAGACAAGTAATAATTATAAAATTCAAACAGCACTAAAACAGACATACAGAAAATAAAATTATTGTGATGACTTAACAGTGTACACACACACACACACCAGTGAAGGCCAAACTTAGGCAGTCATCCCACAAGGTAAGCCCTACACTCTCCCTGAGTGTCATTCCAACCCCTTCCCCCTACCCAATTTGCTGCTCTGCTTTATGCTCCTTTCCCCAGTCTGTCCCAAGCCACACACAGAGGCTGCATGTGCTACTTGTGACACACATGATGTAGTTTGGCCACCCCTGATATGTACCCTCAATTGAATACAAGAAGACATGTTTTACTTTGCAAGTCATGTTTAAAGCCCGGATCCTGCAATTAATAACATGGAACTAACTCCACAGTCATGTGAAACCTCATATATTGTAAATCGCAGCATCAAAACTGGAAAGATTTTCTTACTCTTGCCTTATAGTTTCTTATCAACAAGAAGCTTATAAAATTATTTCCAAAATCAGACCAATTAATTTAGTCTACATTGGAAACAAAGTATTTTAATTGGGTTTGACAACAGAGTTGTTCTTGATTCAGACAATCACAAATGAAATTATTTTTCAGGAGCCAACTGTTTTGCCATTTAGAATTTTTATATATCTCTCAATTGCCAGGGGTCCAACAATCTGACCGATGTATGCATTTCTTCTGGTATAATTTTAAATATATTTAATTTATATATATAATAATATAATATACTATTGATAGTAGTTTACTCCAGTTCACGCTGCTCCGGCATTTATTACTTTACATTAATTGCACACAGATGCACCTAGTGATCATCATATCAAAAGCAAGGCTTCAGTGCTATAAAGACTAATAATATATGTGCTTAACTTTACATTATGTGTAGACCTCATGAAGTCAATGGGACTGTGTATAGATCTCTGAAGAATTGGGGCCTGAAAGAAAGATCTATACTCTTTCAGAAGAGTTCACTTTACCCAGCAACATAAAAAAAAAATTCAAAATATGATAATACTGATATTTTCATTCAGCAACAACAACAAAAATCACTGCTAGACAACAAGACAATTGAAGTCACACAGGAACCATCTGCCACAAACAAACCTCATTTTTTCCATCACCATCAAAGTCGCACAATGCTAATGAACGAACATTGTCTCCTGTAACCTAAAATTAAAAGGATGAAGTCATTAATATTTATCCTGGCTTAGCCTATGACAAGTTTTTTTATGAACGTAATGGCCAGAAAACAAAGAATCTACTTAAATCATGTTCATCCAGTTGTTGGGTAGTTGCAAAAATGTATGATTTATCATGGATCTTAAATTAAATTAAGGAAGATTTGAGCTATTAAACAATTAAATGAATATTTATTACATTAAACACCAAAGGGAGTTTAATCTATTGGAAAAAAAAATCATGGAGTAGCATCAAGAGACCTGTGCATGTCCTTACCGTCCAAAATAGATCATTTCCTTCATGATCAAAGCCTTGCAGAGCACAATTTCCACCAATAATGGCAAGAGGAGATGAAATATCTCCTAGCATTCCAAGCACTGCTGCATTAGCACCATCTGAAATCTACAGAGATATATTAAAAGAATAGATATGTAGCAAAGACTCAGCTAGATATATATGCACATAATACATGCAGCACATTCATCTATTTTGCAATGGTACAGAAGTTTGAGTTGCTATAAAATATTTATAACCAAAAAGATATGAACAAATAAATGACCAGAAAGTAAATGCAATGTAAGTAGTCAACTGCAAATTACAAATGTCTACAAGAAAACCCATACTGTCCTTAGTTATACATGGCTAAGTAAGGCCAGTAGGTCACATCCATGAGGTCATGACAACAACAAAAAAAAGAAGAAACATTTACACACCATGTCAGATCTTCACAACCCACAAACCACAAGTCCTGAAGGTATTCTCAGAGAACTGGCTTTGTCAGTGTCCATTATAGTGGACCAACAGTAAGTGATGTGTATTTTAAACTTTTATTGTTCTCACACCCAAAACAGCATGAGGCACTTCACAGTAACAGAGGCATGCTCATTGCCTTAAAGACTCTACACACTCTAAAGACCCAGTTCTGTAACAAGATGTGTACAGATGCTTCTTTTCATATTCAGCAACCTGTGGATTCAAAGGAATTTGTGCAAACCAGTGCTTCCATTCACACACTTCTCTCTAAGGAAGGGAGGTGCCACACTGATTTTGTAATGAAATCCACCCAAATTAACCTCTTTGTCTATAAAGACACCATTCCAGAAGCCTAACTATAAAATAAGCAACAATAACTGACAATAATAATTTATCAAGGATTGGGGGAGGGAAGGGGGAAACAAGTTATTATTTAATACTGTGCCTTTTAAAATTTTCT